AAGTTGGGGGAGGGGGTGCTGGCTTCTGGAGTTCTTCCAGGGACATTTCTCTCTGGCCTCAGCCCGGATCTATGCTCTGACATTGAGCCCATGTGTCCCGGTATCTCTAGGGGCCTTCATCACCTACAAATGTTCCTGTCCATGTTGGCCATTCTGGAACTGGACAGGTCAGCTCCTGCAACCCTGAACAGACCTATAAAAACGAGAGCAGGGTATTGATTGCCACAGCGGTTGGGGGGACCACACTCCAGGCCGAGCACCTGTTTGTCCTTCCTGAGAAGGGGCACCCAGCTCTGTGTGGGGGGGCCTGGCTATTCCTCTCTGAAGCCCATTTCCTGTGGGGCTGGATGGGGCTGAGTCCTGAGTGCTGGCGCCCAGAGTCTCCTTGGTGTGGGGGTGGGGGAGGTGTGTCCACTGTCCTGGCTGAGCCTGGACTCCTGTGTGGCCCCAGCAGAACAATGGGCTCATTGGGGATGGGAGTCACACTCACGCCAGCTTTCTTTCCAGAATGAGCCCCTCGGGGCTGGACACGAGGGGGCCTGAGGGCAAACTGCAGAGATGAGAAGCACAGGCTCACTCAGGTCCTGGTTCTGCAAGCTTTCCCGCACGTGACCTGGGCAGCGCAAGTCATCCCACTGCCTTGTTTCCCAATTAAACGGACGCGTTACACCCAATTTCAAGGAATTGTTTTGAGGAGTAAATGAAATACTGTAAAAAAAAAAAAACGCGGTCACAAAGTAAAGGTTCAATCACAGCTAGTAAAACCAAATGGACTCGCTCAGCCAAGGGTTGTTGGGAATCGCTTTAAGTTCAACCCCATTCAGTCTCAGATCGCCCCTTGTAGACAGGACAGGGCTTCTCATAACATGCAGGAGCACCCCGTCCCCCCCTTCCCGCCCCCGCGCCCCACTCCTCTGATTCTTTTCTCCCCCAGAGCCTGTGTGAAAGGCTCAAGTGTCGTGTGGCGAACACACTCGTGTGTTTTCAACAAGCTTGGTCCCATTCAGGACCATGTTCACCGCCTCCCAAGTACAAGGACGCCTTGATTCCGACAATTAGCCCACACCTGCTCAGAAGGCGGAACGTTTTCGGGGGCGGGACCAGGAACACAGCCCCGCCCCTCGGCTGCCCCATTCGGATGAGGCTCCGCGCCTGAGGCCCCGCCCCTCCGCCGGAACGACCCGCCCCTCCGGAGCGCCTGCGCAGCCGTCGCGGGGAGGATCACGGAACCCAGCCGCCTGGGCTCGTTTCCACCCGGTCCTGAGAGCGCAGGACTAACTTCCGGCAGGCCCCGACTCGTGTGCCCCGCTGCTTCCGGCCGGCGGCGGGTCTCAACTCAGGAGATGGGGAAAGTGAGGGGCTTGCGCACCCGCGTGCACCAGGCTGCCGTGAGGCCCACGGGGGCGGCCGCGCCCGTCCCCGCGCCTCCGGTCCAGGAGGCAGCCCCTCCGCAGACCTCGGCCGGCGGAGTCAGGGGAAAGGTAAGTTAGGTGGTCCGCAGGGGTGGAGGTGAGGGCGGGGCGCCGCCCGGTGCCGCCTCGGGGGTCCCGGGTGGGCTGCCCGCTCCCTCTGCCCCCCGCCCCCGACGGTGTCCGTGCACCGTCTGCCGGCCGTGTCAGTCAGCGAGGCGTGGTGGCCTGCGGGTCGGCTCGCGTGGCGACGGCGGAGGGGCCCCTTGCACCGCGCCTTGGGCTGGGCGCGAGAGAAGCTGACGCCTCCCCCCACAACGTCTATTAAAGCTCTCGATCGTGGCCGAGATGCCTTTGAAGCCTCAGGTGAGCTCCCAGGAAAGGAAGGCGAGCCCCAGGTTTAACGAAGAGGGGAATGGCGAGCTGAACAGAGACCCTGTGCCATGTGGCGGTCGCCCCGGCCCCATCCCGCCCGGCCCCGAGCAGCCGCTGGTCTGTTGGTGTCTCTGTCTGGACCTTTCACCCGGGTGGGGCCGTGGAGGGTGTGCTCTTCGCGTTCGACTCCTCGGACTTCGCATGATGTCCCGCAGGTTCATCCAGGTGATCATGTACGGTCTATGAATGAGGGTGTCGTTCGTTTTTATGGCAGAGGAGTGTTCTGCGGCTTGGATGGACCACCTTGCTTCTCCAGGGGCTGACCCTTGAGCTGCCCTGGAGGCACTGAGCGGCGTGTGTCACCAAGGGGCGAGCACGGGGGCAGCAGACAAGGCCTTGCCGACCCCCGGGGACCATGCCTAGTGGTGGCGCGTGCCCACGAGGACAGTCGTGTTGACTGAGCACCTGGTATGTGCCAGGCACTTGACAGCTTCCCAACAGCCCTAACCCTCGTTGCGCAGGTGCAAAGGCTGAGCGTTTAAGCAAGTTACCAAGCGCACTCTGCTGCTGGTGGAGGCGCTGACGTCTGGAACCCAGGGTCTGGCGTTTATAAAAGTGATGGGGGTACAATGAACACGTCGTAAAATTCACTCATTCAGAGTGTGGAGTTGACTGTGTGTGTTTCTTTTTTTAGCATATTCACAGAGTTGTGGGACCATCACTACACATGTCAGGACATTTCCATCACCCCAGAAAGTAACCCCATACTTACTGTCAGTCATTCAGGTAACCACGTATCTACTTTCTGTCTCAATGGATTTGCCTGTTCTGGACATTACGTACAGATGTAATAATTCAGCATGTGGCCTTTTGTGTCTGGTTTCTTTCAGCATGTGTTTGTGTTTCCTCCTTGTAGCGTTATTTTTGTAGCATTTATTTCTTTGTTGTCTTCATTCTTTTTATGGCTGAAAAACATTCCGTTGAGTGGGTATAGCACGCCACAATTTGCGTATCCATTCATAAGTTGATGGATGGGTAGTTTCTTCCTAATTTTTGGCTGCTGTGACGAATGCTGCTGTGAACATTCAGGGACACATTTTTCTGTGGACCTGTGGAGTGGAATTGCTGGCCAGTGCAGAACACTATGCAGAACACTATGTTCAACTTTTGGAGGAACTGCCTGCCCGTTCCCCACAGCGGCTACACTATTTTACATTGCCGTCCGCAGTGTGTGCGAGTTCCAGTTCCTCCACGTCTCCTGTTATTGTCTGTCTTTTCGATTAAGCCATCCTAGTGGGTGTGAGGTGGCGTTTCATTGTTTTGCTTTGCGTTTCCCTGTGGGCTACTGATGTTGAGTACCTTTCATGAGCATGTTGGCTATTTGGATGTCTTCTTTAGAGAAATGTCTGTTCAGGTCCTTTGTCCTTTTAAAAATTGTATTGTTTGTCTTTTTGTTGAGTTTTAACAGTTCTTTATTCTGGATGGTCAACCCTTATCAGATCTATATGGTTTGCAAATATTTTTTTGAATTATGTGGGTTGTCTTTTTACTTTCTTGATGCTGTCCTTGGAAGCACAAAGGTTTTAATTTTGGTGAGGTCCAGTTTATCTTGTTTTCTTTTGCTTGTGCTTTTAGTGTTGTGAAAGCCGAGGTGTAGTTGAAAAGTGCAGAGGGGCTTGCGCAGGGTTTGGTCATGGAGAGAATCTTTGTCAGTGGATGTCCTTTAGGGTTTGATGTAAGGCTTACGCTATATGTTGGTATTTGGGTCTGAATCCAGTGAAAGATAGTCTGTATAGCTCCGTTCCCTGCCATCCCTTGTGCACTATTGTTATGTGGGCTGTGCCTATATGTCATAGTCCAAATGAAGATGTTATAATTATTCTTTTATGATTACCTCATGCTTACCTTTTCTAGGTTCCTTGTTTTGTTTTTGTGGATTTGAATTACTCTCTGGTATTATTTGCTTTCAGCCTAAAAACTTCCTTAGTGTTTCTTTTTTTTTAAGATTTTTTTTTTGGGGGGGGGGGAATTGGGGAAAGGGAACAGCCAACTTGTTGTCCTTCAATCTTAGTTGTGGAGGGCCCAGCTAGCTCAGCTACAAGTCCAGTCACCATCCAGCCGCTTAGCTAAGGTGCTGTGTTCAATCTTAGTTGCAGGTGGGCATAGCCCACCATCCCATGTGAGAGTTGAACCAGCAACCTTGTTGTTAGGAGCACGTGCTCTCACCAGCTGAGCCATCCTGCCACCTATTGGCAGCTCTGCGGCACCCAGCTTGGGCGCAGCTCACTGGCCCATGTGGGAATCGAACCCGCGACCCTGTTGCTCAGAGCTTGTGCTCTTAACCAACTGAGCCACTTGGCCAGCCCTCCTTAATATTTCTTAAAAGGCAGATCTGTTGACAACACATTCTCAGTTTTGGTCTATCTGGGACTGTATTTATTTTGCCTTCATTTTTAAAAGATCATTTTCTGGATTTAGGATTCCTGGCTGACGAGCTTTTTAACTTTGCAGGTCATGCCACTCCTCCTGATCCCCATTGTTTCTGAGGAGGAGTCAGTTGTTAATCTTATTGGGGTTCCCTGGAGTGTGGAGTCGCTTTCTTTGACTGGTTTCAAGGTTTTTTGTTTGCCTCGAAACATTCGACTATGATGTATCTTGATGCAGATCTCTTTGTGTTTATTCTCTTTGGAGCTTTTTGGTTCTGCTTGGAGCGCACTGAGCTTCTTGGATGTGTATAGTAGGGTTTTTCATTAAATTTAGCAGTTTTTCAGCTGTTATTTCTATGAATATTAATGAGGCAGAAAAAGAGTCAGTAGCAGTGAGCCCCAGGGGACCGCCCCCGCCCGGGCCTGCATCTCCTCCCCAGGGACTGCCCAGACTCAGCCCCTAGAGATAAACTTTTCTGTCAACACATCCTTAGAAAAAGGAGTTAAAACTCCAACCAGAAATATCTAGTTTTCAACGCCTGTGCAGACTGCTGGAGCCTGGCCTCAGCTTGAAGTCCAGCCTCATTACAATACAATTAGAATAAAGTGGACATTTGTGCTCCCTCTCAACCCCCCAACCCCGTGGGTTATTCTGTATGCATTCTGGGTGAGAACGTGCACAGAAAGAAACTAGTTATATAACCAACATATGTCAATCAGATGACCTCAGTATATCGCCAAATGTCCTGAGTTTAGACGGCACATCTCCTGCTGTAAGGAAATTTACCTACCCTTTCCTATATAAGAAAAAGCTAACCTAAAGTTAGGTGCAGTTGTCTGAGACTCTGCCCCTGGCAGCCCCACTCCTGTGTTTCTCTCCTTACTACCCGGGGCAGCTGTCCTCTTTAGATACTGCCACACGCAGTCTCTCTGCCCAGCCTTTAATAAAACCTTTCCTTGCTCTCCTGCTTTCCTGAGTCTTGTGAATGCTTGCACATCCTGCGCACGACCAGGGGTAATTATTGTCTGAGCCAGCACAGATATGTCTCTCTCTCTCCCCCTCCTCCTCCTCTTCTGGTACTTCCATTGCATATGTTGGCATGCTTACTGGTACTCTGTGGCACCATTCATTTTTGTGTTGACCTTAAAAATAAAGCTTTTTGTTTTTTTTTTTAAATGGGTTTATCAGAAATAGCAAATTATTGTAATTTGGACCATGCAAGCTATAGCAAAAGCCTCAGGCAGGTCCAACAAAGGAGGACGACTTCGTTTTACGGAGAAAAAGGAGGCAGTGGGAAGGGTTGTTTTGAATGAGAGGCCGTTGCAGGAGAAGGGAGAGTTGGCTGAGATGCGGGGGGGGNAGTGTCACTGGCCCTCATATGTGGGATCCGAACCGGGGCCCTCTGGCATCCCAAGCGAGTTCTTAACCATCGCGCCACTCGGCCGGCCCTATATATTGGACTTCTGATAAGATTTATTTGAAGAAAAGAGTCTCTTTGTGTTAAAAAAAAAAGCACTCTTCTTGGCTTTGTTAGTGATTGACACTGTTGAGTTCTGTGCTATGTGACACAGACATAAATATTAAAGGCTTTTTAAAAAACCTTTGCCCTCAACTAACGGACTTACTCATTCAACAGTATGGAGCATATGCTGTGTGCAGGCACTTAGCTATGCAATGGGGGTTGAATGCTGAGCGAGAGCTGCTGGTCTGGCCTGGGGTCAGGTGGTGCCAAACCAGAAGGACATTAATCAAAGAACACCACAAAGAAATACAAAACCCAGCAACGATTGATATCTGGCGTGAGGGAAGCTGCAAGATGCAAGGGATGACGAGGAAACTTCAGTTCACGGTGTCACTGTGTTAGTAGAACTGAAGTGACTGACTGTGTGAACCAACAACTGTTAAGAATGTAAGTGCTCAGTAAGCAAGCATGGGCTTTCTGGTAACACAGACAAGGGAGGCAGTGACGGGCTCGGCCAGAGGGGGAAGGAAACCTCACAATGAAGGTGAGCATCATGGAAGTGTTCATAGGACATGTTCTCGTAGGAAAAGGGGGGAAAGAAGGATACCTCAGACAGAGGCATTGTATGTGCACAAGGAACAGAAATTGGGAACAATGTCAGAAAACGACAAGCCGTCCTCAAGAATAGAGTAAAAGGTGGTTGTGTCGAAAAAGAAATGGAGTTACGAACATGTGCAAGGACCAATCAGACAAGGCCTTCTACACAATACCGAAAGTTGAGATGTAACCTGCAGAGCCTGCCAAGGAGGTGGCTGGGGTTCCTGAAGCCTGGAGTCAGGGATGTGGCACGATCACAGCTGCATTCCAGACCACCCACCCAGAAAGCCATGTGCAAGATAGGGCAGAAATGGGAGGACTAGTGACAAAGCAACCGATCAGCAGCTGCTACTATTTAATAAGCAAAAGACAACTAGGGGGCCGGCCGAGTGGCACGATGGTTAAGAGCTGGCTTGGGATGCCAGAAGGTCCCGGTTTGGATCCCACATATGAGGGCCAGTGACACTGCCCTCCACAGCTAAGATGCTGAACAACAGCTCGACCTGGAGCTGGGCTGCTGTGANGGCTGCTGGCTGCTCACGCTGGCTGCTGGCTACACACAGTAGCCCATGGCAACCCACTGCCACAGGGGCTGCAGCCTATGCCGTCGCCAGCGACTCATGGCAGCCCAGTTCCAGGTTGAGCTGTTGTTCAGCATCTTAGCTGTGGAGGGCGGTGTCACTGGCCCTCATATGTGGGATCCATACCCGGGCCCTCTGGCGTCCCAAGCCAGTTCTTAACCATCGCGCCACTCAGCCGGCCCATCACTGTACTTTTTGACCGCGGAATTTTATTTTGTTTTACTGGTTGCTATTTCCTGATATTCTCTCTTTGATGAGAGGTCACCACCCGTCCCTTCCTGTGGTTCTGCAGACAGGGCCTCTCTTAGGTCTGCGGCCACATTTACAATGGCTGCTTGGAAGTCTTAAGTAAGTCCCACATGTGGGCCCCTCAGAAGCAGCTGCTACTGCTGAGGTCACTCTCCCATTTCTCTGCGTGTGTCACCTTGCTGTGTGGGAAGTGGAATCGTGGGCAGTGCACCGTAGCAGCTCGGGTTGGTGGCGTTTGTCTGGGTGTCCTGCTTGTGTCCTGGCCTGGCTCTGAGCTGGCCGCGTGACGTCCGCTGGACTCTCCCGCCAGGACGCGGCCTCTGCCTCCTTGCTCATACCCTTGTCTCCTGTTTTTATCTTTTCCCTGGATCAGCACAAGCCGCTTATTGGTCAGATTGTGCCTAAGCCCCGTGCTGGGGCCTCTCGCCTGCGTTGCGTTTGCAGGGGTCATGCTTTCCAGGGTGCCCGTCCAGCGGTGGCGGCTCCTGATCCCAGGAGGGCTCTTAGCTGCCTCAGTGGTGCCCACGCTGGGTAGCTGGTTGCTGCTGGTACGTGGTGCTGTGAGCCCCGCTGTCTGCACAGAACCCCAGGGTCCCCACACCCTCAGGCAGGGGCTTCTGTTCTTTCCTGATGAAGTCGCCCCCTCCCCCCCAGCCTGTCCCTCCCCTGGGTGGGACCTCTGTGCCTAAGCGAGAGAAGGGAGCAGGGCAACTTCTGCGTCTTCCTGGTCACACCCCTCTCTACAGGCGGAGCTGGGGTGGGGGAGGGGTTGGCCTGTGGTCTTGGCTTGTGAGTAGCTCCACCCTCAGAGCTGGGTAAGGTCGGTCAGGACCCAGCATCCTTGACCTTCCCTGCCTGGAGTGGAGTCCTGCCCAACAAGTGGGGCTGGGCGGGCAGGGGAAGGGGCCGTGGCTCTCTGGCCTCACCTTGGAATGGAGCCTGAGCAGCTTGGTGAAGCCGTCGCTGGGGACTGGGAGCTGGGGGAAGGGATAAAGCCCCTGGCTCTTCCTGTAAGTGGGGTGGGGGGACAGGTCATGGTCATGTGCCATAGAGTCTTTCTGTTCTTGATGAGACTTATTTCCTCCAGTTTAAAGGCGGTTGGGGAGACGGTCTGCCACACCCCTCACTCTGCACTCTCTACGTGGGTTCCCCCCGAGCCCCAGCTTTTATTCCCTCTGCTGGTCAGGCCAGGTGGAATTCCCCCAACAGATAAAATCCTGCCGGACTGAAGACTACAGCTAAAATTATAACGAAACAACTCACCATGAATGAGAGTCAGCAGAAAGAGTAAGCATCAGAATTAGAGGTCGTGAAGTCAGAAAACAGAATGACTGGGTAGAGACTGCAAATACGGATGCCTGAAACATGGAAGACGCTGATGAAGTGAACTGGCACCATAAGATGCTTAACCATAGAGTTGGGAGGACTATGCGTGGAGCTGGGTCCCTAGTTAACCCTATAATCCTGACTTCCCGTTCATCCTTATGGTAATCCTGGGGGTGGGATCATAATAAAGGGATTAGCTATCTTAAAACCGGGTCTTTTGTCTCCACGTGGGCTGCCGCCATTAGGAGCTCCGTGTTGGAGGTGTGTTTTCTAAATTCCCTTCAGGATCTTCCCATCTGGCAATCCTCATCCAGGGTTAAGTGTGGCCTTCACCAACCAACATATGGGTCAGCTGGCACAAATCAGAAAACCCAGGTTGATATGCTTGAATAGTAATATCAAATTCTTTAGCAAGTTTATTAGAATCTTCAGTTACTATAGGAAACTCCTTTACAATGACCTGTAACTCAGCTTTGGTCCAGGGGATGTAAGAAACGTGGGGTTTATTAGGATCTCCAGAGGGTTTAATCTTAGATGGAAAAGTCCTGATAGGTTCTAAGGAAGAAAAAGAGTGAGATTTGAAAGAAAGTGTCGCTGGGGTTTGAGTCAGAGGTGAGGGCGAAAAAGGGCAAGATGTCGTGGAAAGTAGAAGAGGCGAAGCAGCAGTGGGCGAGGGGCAAGGCAGTGTTGTAGACAACGAGCACGAGGTTTTAGACGCCATTCTGTCTCTTAAAATTTTTAACAGTTTTTGTTAAGTAAGCTTTGGATTTGCGTTCCTGTTTGACAGCCTCCATATACCACTCCAAATATGCATTCCATTCCTCTTTCTCAGTTACAACACTGTTACCATCCAATTTAGTTTTAAGAAATTCAAGTTTGGAAATCTCAAAAGTTCCCCAAAGTGGCCACTGATTTCTAGGATTACTCTTAGTCAGATCTACCCATTTAGTTAAATACGAGCACGAAAATTCTCCGTGGTTTGCAAACATGTCTTCACCTGGTGTCCCTGGAGGAGGGACAGTTTTAGAAGGCTTGGACATTCGAGATCCCATTTTAAAGGCTGGGCCCAAAACAATTTATAGCTCTTACACCTGCAGGTCTTCAGCTCACCTCACTCTGGAACAATCTGATCACTGAGAACCAGGCCGAAGGCTAAAATAAAAGCCAGTTCCAGGCAAATAACCAACTCTTAGGGGGTTTAAGTTACAGGTTGAGCTGGCGCTGGGCCAAGATCAGTTCACAACTCAGGCAAACTGGGAATCTTCGCTTTGCTCCACTCTCACTCTGGAACAGCCTGATCGCTGGGATTCAGACCGAAAGCTAAAAGCCAGTTCCAGGCAAATAACCAACTCTCAGGGAGTTCAGTTATCGACCGAGCTGCGTGGCACTCCATTAACTTTTCACTGAAACAGCACGATCTAACATCGTCTAAACTGACCAATTTCAGCAGAAATAACCTCTTATCCCAAAGGGACGTTAGGCGAAGGCCAGTTTTTGTCTCAAAAATAAACAGAGCCTGCTTTCCGAAGAAAGCAAGCCAACATGCCATGAGTAGACAAACAAATAGGCCCTAAAGCATTCACACACACACAACAAAACAAACGAATGAAACAAAACAGAAAAAATTTTAAAATTCCCAAACAAAACCTGGAGCGCGCCAGACGCAAAGGCCCGTTGGTTCAGATCCAGGAGAGAAACTTACCCGAGGCCTCGAAGCCAGGGAGCAAAAAGTCAAGCAAAACAGCTGTTTGGCGCCACAGCTTTTTGCTCACTGGTCAGAAGTCATGGGAGTTCAGTTCCTCTCTGGATCCCGGAACGAGGCCCCCAAAATGTTGAACTGGCGAAAAATAACTCTCCAAGTAATCCACAAAAGAAACGGTTTATTCGGGAAAAGAAAAAGAAGCAAGACCACCACCGCAGTGCAGAAAGCACACCTCCTACACGGAGCTCCTACTGGAGGCAGAAAGACCCCGGTTTCAAGGCGACTAATTCCTTTATTATAATCCCACCCCCAGAATTACCATAAGGATGAACGGGAAGTCAGGATTATAGGGTTAACAAGGGGCACAGCTCCACCCATAGTCCTCCCAACTCTGTGCTTAAGCATCTTATGATGCCAGTTCACTTTATCAGCATTCAGGAATCAAATAGAAAGGAACAGAAGAAAACCTTACAAAGACTAGGCCAGTTTGGAGGGGAAAAACAATAGATAGACCTGTATGAAAGAAAGTGTAGTGAACTTCAACATGGAGCAGACACTTAAACAGAATTCTGATTTCTAGTTGCGAAATGATGTTGTGGTCTGTGAAATTCAGCTGAGATGCCCCGCCCCCCGCCCCCCAGTGAGTTCTCTGGGGTTGATACTGACTGCCTGTGAAGTCAGTCCCAGGAGCCAGGCCTTCTCTGTCCGCCCCCATGGGCACACTCAGCCTGGCACCTTATTGGCAGTCGGGCTTGTTTCTGCTTCACCCCAGTGTTGTCCATGGGTGTGCGACTCCCCGGGGGGTGGAAGCTGTGTCCCTCCCGAGGCCCGTCCTGGAACTTGGCCTTGGAACTAGTACGTGTGATGGGCTGAGTGACGAGGGGTGTTTTAAACCTGATGGGATGAGTGTAGTGGGAACACACTGCCTGGGTGGCAGAAGGCGTGTGAGGCGGGAGAGTGCCCTAGAGAGAGGAAGAAGAGGAGAGGTTTGGGAGGAGGTCTGGAATCTGGTCTCAGGTGGCCCTTAGCCTGGAGCTGGCCGCCTGCTGGTTGGAGGCAGGCTGGAAGGTGCGGCCTTAGAGCTCTGGGGTCTGAGCCCCGAGTGGCCTCGGGCTGCCTTCTGGGGAGCCCAGGGAGCTTCCCCGGGTCCTCCCCTGTGGACAGGCCCGGCCAGTCCTTGCTGAGGGGTCTTCCTGCTGTGTAATGGGCCTTGCATTTCACCCTGAAGCCATGGAGCGAGCTCACGTGGTCTCCTTTTCTTTTCAGGAGTGGGCTTTGGTGGACACTGACCTCTTTGCCAGGACCAAGATAGACCCCAGCGCCTTGGTGCAGAAGCTGGACCTGGACACAAGGGGTGTCCCTTCCTCTAGGAGAGGTGAGTGAGCGAGGCCGACCTCACGCTTCGGCGTTTACAGTGCTGCTGCCAGGCTGGCTCTGGGTCGTTCATACGCACAGCCTGGAGCATTTCGCTTAACCTGGACATTCTTAAGAGGTTTTAGCAATGGAAAAATTTAAAGGTTTACTGAAATAGGAAGAATGCTATAAAGAAATCTCACGTACCCATCACCTACCTTTAGCCCTCTTGCGCGCGCGCACTACATTATTTTGAAGCAAACAGCGTTTCACTCATGAATTCTTTTTTTTTTTTCACTTTATTTATTTCAGTTACACTTGATATTCGGTATTATTTTATATTACTTTCAGGTGTACAGTGCAGTGGTTAGACATTTACATAATTTAAGATGTGATCCCCCTGACTAGTCTAGTCCCCACCTGGCACTGTACATACTTATTGCCACTTCATTAACTGTATCCCTTGTGCTTTACTTTACATCCCTGTGACTACTTTGTAACCACCAATTTGTGCTTCCTAATCCCTTCCCCTTTTTCTGCCCGTCCCATCTAGTAACCATCAGCTTGCTCTCTGTATCTATGAGTCTGTTTATATTTTGGGTTTTCGTTTATTTTGTTTAGATGCCACATATAAGTGAGATCACACAGCATTTGTCTTTCTCTGTCTGACCGGTTTCACTCAGCATAGTACCCTCGAGGCCCATCCATGGATTCTGTGTATATGTTTCTGAGGGCTCTTCAGAAGCAGCTCGCCTACAATGCCACTGTCACTCCTAAACAAACCAGCAGTGACGTATCACCAGATGAGCCACTGTGTGCTCCCCTCCTCACGGCTGCCTCAGAGTTGCTTTGTGAAAACCCGGGTGTGAACAGGTAGGCGCACAGCAGTGCAGCTGCCCCCGACCCGTTTCCTCCTGTGGTCATGATGCGGGGAGGCGTTTGCCGACTGTTCTTCCCGCCCTGGGTTTTGCCAGTTGCCGTCTGGCGTCTTCAGCAGGTTTCCCTGACCCAGCTCAGTTCTTGGCGGGAACTTCCCGGCTGAGCTGGCCTGGACATGGGTGGGTGCATGAGGGCCACTGTCCAGAGAGAGACCTTGATGCTGCCTGCCTGTGAGCGGGCATTGAAGAGAGGGCTGTGCCACCCTGCGGGGAGCGCTCAGGCCTCCGGGCAGGGCTGTTGGTGCCAGGCTCTGTGTCATCCTGTGTTTTACCTGCACGTGCTTCCATGGGTGTAATGCTACTGTACGTTTTCTCCTGTAAAGTTGTAAGCAGCTGTCCTTTTTGACCTACTGCCTTTGTTGCGAGGGGTCTCGAGTGAATTGATGTCCAGACTTTTCTTAATTATTTTGTTATTGGATAACTAAGCAGCACCCAGGGTTTTAGCACCATTTCCCCAGATCTCCATCTCCAGTTTGTAAAGTGTTGTAAGATGTGATTATTTCCCAGGTACCACTTACATCAAGCGTCTTTGTGTGGGGTTGTGTTTACATCCTTGTTGTGGATCTTGGTTACGTCACTGGGAAGATGGACCTGAATTTCCTTGCCACGTTTGTGTGTTGAAATGGCGAGGAACAAGCTGTTCCCCGCACCCTCTGAGGCTGTTGGCTGGGACCCTGCGGTTTAGACTCACAAAAGACGGACCAGCAAGAGAAAAGCAGCTTATTAATGCGCGCAGTGCGTGTCACTCGGAGAAATAGGGTGGTGAGAACCTGGCCTCTAACGTCTTAGCAGAGAGCACTGTGCTTGGAGACTTCCAGGGCACATACCCTGGGCAGGCGGCAGCGGGGACAAGTGGAGAAAGGTGTTGGCGCCAGCCTTCCCGCGCCTCCCGGGAGAGGGGACTCCTGGGAGTTCTCACTTCCCAGAAGTTTCTTTGGTGACCAGTGTGATCAAACGGTTGTTTGCGTGTTCAGTGATCCTCTTACGGTTTGTCTGTTTAGGGCAGTTCGATCGCTTTCATCAACCTTGAACGAGTGCTTTACGTGTCCTAGAGGTTAGCTATTTGTCATTTCGTACAAAAGTCCTCTGGGATTCTTCAAATTGCCCAGGACGTTATTCCTGCAGGGAGCTGACACATGCTGTCTTCCGACGTTTCCCGCGGTGGCTCTTCCTGCCCCTCCCACCTGTCACCCAGGCTTCTCTCTCCTTCCCGCCTCCCCTGCTGGTTGTGGGGCTGAGTCGCCCTGTACCCGGGGATGTGGGACGGGCTGTGCTGTGGTCCAGGTCGGCAAGCTGCCCTGCCTGCTGGTGGCGCGTCCACCCAGGGGGGAGCAGCCATCTGGGCTGCAGCCAGTGTCCCCCAGGGGACAGCGCGTTGGTTGGCAGTCATGGGACTTGCTTGGAGCCCTGGTGCTGTGCCTTGTTGGCTGCTGGCTTTGGGGGCATCTGTTTAACCTCCCTGGACCCTTAGTTCCTCGTGTGTCAGGTGAGTGTGCCATCTGCTGGGCAGGGACGTGTGCCAGCGGCACTCCCATGTCAGGAGGGCTGGCTCACTTGTTCCCTGTCACTGACAAGGACATGGTGTGGGGCCCACTGCAGGGTCCCGTGTGTGTCCCCCCCCCCCCCCCCCCCCCGACTGAGCTCAGAGCAGTGAGGCCCCACCTGGGAATGGGAGGGACATCAGGGCCTCCCTCTGCCACTGCTGGATGGGTCCCTGTGGGACATCGTCACAGCTCCCCATTCCGTGACCCGCCTGAGGCTGTGCACACACCTCGACGTGGCCCGGGCCAGCACCAGCGCCACTGGGGCCCACTGCAGACCTGCTGGCCTGTTGTCCCCGCCCTCCAGGGCCCTCTGGCCCTGGCCCAGAGCCCCGTGTGTCCTGCCTGGGGGCTCCAGGAGCACAGAAGCTTCACCACCTCGTCTCTGTGCAAAGACCGAGAAGCCTGTATAGGCCCTGGGTTCTGAGCTGTGCCCCTCCAAGGCCTTCCTGGTCTGGCCCAGCCCTGCGCGCACTCCGAGGTGACTAGCTGCCCCTGGGTTCCCTGAGCTGGGTCTGTCTCAGCCTCTCCCCGCCCACACCTTCCTCTTTTCCAGCAACCCTTCCTCCACCTTGCCTCCTGATTGGCCAGCGCCTGGGTCCCACAGGGGGACAATGGGCCTTGTGGTCCCCAGGCCCCGGGGCAGATGCAGGTCATGTGGAAAGTGGCATGAGATGACTGGATGACTCGATGATTCCGATGATTAGTCACTGCTCAGGGACCTGCTGGGTGTGAAGGCGGGGGCGCCTGTCTGCCCGGATTAGCCCAGATGCTCTGCCCTCCCCCAGTCCTCACCCTGGGCTGAGGCACAAATAGAGCAGCCGGGCTGGACCGGAGGGGGCCGAGCCCGCTCAGGGGGGCCTGGCCTGGATGTGGGTCCCTCACCCAGCTGTGCGTCCCCCGCATGCCGCGTGCACTCCCCTCCCCCATGCAGACATGTGCTCGCACACTGCCCCGCGTCCCTAGATGTTATGGGGCCCGTGTGACCCTGTGCGTGCTGCTGGCCTCTTTCCTGGGTTTCGGCACGGAGCCTTTGGAGCCCTGGCCTAGGGCCCAGTCTGCCCCGTTCCCTCCTGCCCTGCTCAGGCCCACCGTCGGATTCTAGGCAGGGCCTCTGAGCTTCCTGTGGGTGAACCACTGGCTCTGCAGTGATGGGCTGGGTGCAGTGCTAGAGCTCCCCCTGCAGATGAACCCCTACCTACCACCATCCCAGCTCCCCCTGCAGACACCCCCCCACCACCAGAGTTCCACAGTTGCCCTAAAGGGCTCCTGGGCTTATGTGCCCCCCCCCCATCCCCTGTCCCCACGAAGCAGCTTCCCAGTTCCTCTCTGTCCTCTCCTGGGGCGGGGACTTGGGGGCTTGTGGCAGGTGCTGTCTCCCTGCACAGGTCGCCACTCTGCCCATCCTAGTTCTAGTCCTGTATTCCTTTATGCTGACAAGTTGCAGAAAACCAGTCTGCCCCCGTACAAGCACCTGGAGTGGGGGGCAGACCAGTACTCAGTTCTGTGGCCTGGGCATTGCCGGCCCCCAGACTTGTCGTGCCCAGAGAGGTGGGCAGGGCGAGGCTCACCTGACAGAGGACAGGCCTGGTTAGGGAGGTGGAAGCAGGAAGATGGGAGGGAAGGGTGTCAGCTTGGCCGGAGAGCGCAGCCAGCACGCGTGGCTCGGAGGCCTCCAGCCACCAAGGGGGGCGGTGGAAGCGTGTCTGCCGGACTCTGGTGGGAGAGGGTGGGGAAGTGGGGGTGGAGAGTGGACAAGGAGGCGGCAGGGAGGGACCTTGCTGCCGGGATGCCCGGAGTGTGTATGCTGCCCTCTGCGTCTCTGGGACTGAGCTGACACCCCGTGTCCTCCCCATTCCCATAGAGAGAACTCTGGGCCTCGGCCGTGCAGACCTTGGTGCTGTGGCTCCATTTCCCCTACTTGAGTGTCCCTCTGTGCCTCTGACCTACCCACCCACCGCAGTGACTCCCTCTGGCAGGGTCCCGAGCAGGTGCAGGTGCGGGGCTGCCCAGCAGAGGGCGGGCAAGCTGTGCTCCCGTCAGACCAGGCATTGGGAGAGGCCATCCTGCCCCAGGGGTCCAGCACCCAAGATCCTGTCCCAGAGGTCTTGCCCTCGGGGGTCCTGCCCCCAGAGGTCCTGCTCCCAGGGGTGCTGCCCCAGCGGTCCTGCCCCCGGAGGACCCCCAAAGGCAGGGCTCTAGCAGACGGAACCGAGGGCTTTCGAGGTTGCTCAGGGTTTTCATAAAGCCCCCCTCAAAGACTGTTGGCCTTTCCTCAGCCTCGAAGTTGGGTAGGACGCACTGCACTAGCCTGCTTTCCTTACCCCCAGCTGTAAAAGGGGAACCAAGGAAGAGTGGGGGACATGCAGAGGGGATGACTGCTCTGCAGGGAGGGCCCTCTGAGGTGTGGGCCCCCTGAGGACAGCAGAGGGGCATCCTGGGGCCTTGAGTGGGTGGCATTGACCATGTTTGGGAGCCTGTGTCTTTGCTGTGTGTGCTGCCCGCTGTTGGAGGTCACTGGCTGCTGCTGGCTGTGAGCTCCG